CCCCCCTTACCTCCCCCTGCAAACTCCCTCTCAAACTCCCCTGTTAGCCGCCCTGTTTGCTGCCTCCGGTGCCGCTGCTGGGGCTACAAATCCAGGGCCATCTTCGAGTGAGATTCCCCACCCGTGTGATCAGTCGTCCCAACACTTGTCCCTGCGCCAAGGTACCATCAAATCCCTAGTTCTCAATGGTATCCTGGATTGGCACTCCCTGCACGAGGCAGGGAAGCAGTGAGACAGCCGCGCCAGTGTCCACCAACACCACAAAATCTAGTTCAGATGTCTCAGGGCGCTCATGTGGCCCCCGCACCCGAAGGCACACCTGCAACCTTCCTCCCGAATCCACTTGGAGAGGTCCCACCCAGGCCCATTCCTGGGTGCTTCCCTCTCCCAGTGGACTCGGGGAGTCAGGGCCCCCCTAATTTGAGGTTGCTTTTCTGTTCCCGATGTCACCCCCTGGCTCCGGGAGCTTCAACCCCAGCTGAATACAGCGGAGTGCTAGGGACTTCATAGGCTTCCCGTCTCATTGGCCCATTGGTTCCCCCTGGTCCTTCAAGGCCATCCACAACTATATGTGGAGCCAATTGGTGTCTGGTTGGGGGCGCCTGTATCTAGGTGCTGGGGCTGTGACCACAGTGACAGGAGCAGGAGCCCCAGTTCTGGGCTGACCAACCACTCTGGTGGCCTGGTGCGCCGCTTCCCTAAGGTGTGATATGTTTAGGGGTTCTACCTGCCTCCAGACTCCCATAGCCATCTGAACATCTTTGGGCAACATTGCTGTAATAAGCCTTAATTCGGCTGTTGGGACCACAATCTCAGACAGGGTCCTGGGGATCGCTCCCCCCTGGGCACGGGCTGGATACCTCCAAGTTAACAATCCTGCTAATACCATTCTTTCCACAAAAACATCAGGGGCCTCCCCTGGAGCAGGAGAGCCCGCTGCATACTGGCGGCTAACCTCCTGCAGTGCCTCTCCTTGAGCCAAATTACGAACCAGCGCAAATGGAGACTGCCACCGTCCGGCTGCCTGCGTCCGCAGTGCAATTCCCATATCACATCCTGGTACAGTGGATGCCGCCCTCAACAGTTTCCTAACCTCCTCTGGGTTTAACCCCGATCCTCTATTGTCATCAGAAACTGATATGCCCATTCCGAGAATGTGCTCGCCTTGGCTGAGCCTAAACCCTGAACTAGAGAAGTTATCCCCGCAAAGGTCAAGGCTATTTCCTGCATGGTTACCCCAGTTACCGGTCCAGGGCTCCCTCCCTGGGCAGCGGGCCATGCTGGAAAGTTAACTGTTGCACAGCTGCCACCAGGGCAGGCCGCGCTCCCGGCCCATCTGGCGGCCATCCCAGATTGGGATCATACCATATGTCCCCGTCCCAGTCTCCGGGGTCATATCGGAGTGGCGCCTTTGTCCCCAATCCCATGAGTCCTGCTGCTCTCCCGCGCAGACGGGTCCCCTGCTCTAACACTAATCCCCGCAAACACTCCACCTGGACCTCCAATTTCTTAGATTGTTCCCTCTCTTCCTCGGCCTGTTCAGCTCTCTCCGTAGCCTTGACGGCGGAGGCTGCTAGCTGCTGACAACTTGCCCCTGCTGCTTGTGCTTGTGCCTTCCACATATTCCTTTCCACCCTTACTCACTCCAACTCCTGCTTCACCTGCATAATCTCAGAATTTAGGCAGCTTTAGCAGCTTGCCAAGCACAACAAGTTCGCCACAACAACCATGCCGCCGCCCAATCCTTAATCTTTGAATCTGGATGATAAAGCTCACAATATTTCTGGTACATATCTTCTACATCTACCATGGTGTCTCCTGATGAAACCGCTCCTGGGACCCATGGGTCAACACCCTTGGAGTGTGCCCAGAGGAGGAGGAGGGGAAATTTTGCCACCTTCCCCTCCATTGTGAATTTGGGGGGGCTCTTTCCCTTTCTAAACAATGGCATCATGCCCAAAATCAGGAAGGGGGAGCAGGCACCGCACGCGCTCTCTACTCTGTCACCCCTTTCCTCTAGTGTACCTGGAAGGGGGAGCAGGCGCCGCACGCGCTCTCTACTCCGTGTCACCCGTGCAACCGAGCATCAACACTGCAATGAAAGTGACTATACTCAGAAGCTCTCAAATGCACAAAGTAAAGAAACTAAATTAGCGATCTGGGGCGCTACTTTTAATAGCAGGCACATAATTTTCAGGCACATATATGATTTCCAAGTTGATTCTGACTTTTAAAATGATAGTAGTTATCTGTCCAGTGGAACTTGGGCTCCATGGAATCTCTCATGACCCCAGTCAAACCTCCACAAGGCAACAGGAGGAAATGGAACAGATGTGAGCAGTGTTTGTGGGGCTTAGACTGATTGCACAAAGGGTCTGTCTACACTGCAATAAATCACCCGCAGCTGACCCATGTCAGCCTCGGGCTGCGGGGCTATAAAATTGTAACGTAGACAATTCGGGTTTGGGCTGGAGCCTGGGCTTTGGGACCCTCCTCCCCTCACAGGACATCTACACTACAATTTTATAGCCCTGCAGCACAAGTCAGCTGATATGGACCCACCATGGGTGTTTTATTGCAGTGTAGATAGACCCAAAATCTGCAGAGACTGGCAGCAAGCCCCGGACAGAGTCGACCACACTCTATAGTGTAGGAGCAGTTTCTGGAGCATGCTCCAGTCTGGCTCCTTAGAAGCCATCCCCTGGGGGCAAAGTTTACAACAGCTTCCAGGCTACTCTAAACTCAGATGTAAGACTGGCTCTAGGATCAGGGAAACTACCTCCTTGATGTACCAGCCCACCCTCTGTGCTGTTCCCAGCAGAGCTCTGGACCACCATCTTCATTTTACAGCCTCATGAGCACCTGCTCTAAGTATACCTGATTGGTGATCACTTACTAAAATATCAGAACCCCCAGAAGGGAGAGGGTTGGTGTTTGCAAAGGTAGTGCTTAGGGGATGGGTCAAATGGACACTGGATGAGATGGAAGGAAGTGAAACCCCGGAAGGGAGAGAGCTGAATGCAAAGGCCCATAAAGGTGGACATGAGGCAGTGGTGTCCTTCCTGCTGGACTTTTGTATGCAAATCCCACGTGCTTATGGATGGAAATGTGGTTTAGCAGCTACACAAGGGGAGTAGGGGACTGGCAGCCAGGACTCCAGGCCTCTATTCTGAACTTTGCCAGTATGATCCTTGGCAAGTCCCTGTGCCTCAGTTTCCTCAGCTCTAAAGCTGGGATCATGTTACTTACGTCACTGCAGCGTTATGAGGCTTCATTAATTAGAATTTGTAAAGCGCTAGATAAAAAAGAGGAAATGACATGCCAAATGTGACCAGCTCTGCAATTTTTATACTTTGTCATTTCATACGTGTACAAAATGTAACTACTTTTGCTAAAGTACAGCGTCTCCTCCACTATTTCCACACTTGAGGAAGTTGTCAGAGTGAAGCAATACAGCCAAACCAGTGGGCTGTTTTTCATAATTACAGCTCTCCTCAGTGACCCGTGAGGCACAAGGCTGTCTTGAACGTGCTGAGTTTAAGCTACAATTGCACTGGAGTTCAGCGTGTGCCAGTGTGTGCAATTTATAATTTGTTTCACAGGGCATTTCTTTTGGTGTTACTGGTGGCTTGGCTTTGATCTTCATCCTTCCTTCTGTTCGCATGCTGCTAATATCACTAGCTGGCTTATTGATACTGCATGGAATGGGAGATTCAGGGGGATGCAATGGGCAGGGACCAACAGGTCAGTCCACATATGTGTATGTGCAAACTGCTAGACACACCAATATGATGAAAGCTGTTACAGGCAGATTTAATAGGGTTAAGCAAGCTTGTGTGTTGTTTAGACTAGTTTAAAAATGGATATAGGCCTGAGCGTCCAACTTTTAATCATATGAGTAATTCCACGGAGACCATTTTAAATTGGGAGTATTGGGCCCTCCAACATTAATCCTTATCATTTCCCTCCCTCTTTCTTCGCCATAGTGATAGTCTCTAAAGCATGATGACTAAATTCTGAGCCATTTTACCAGGATCTG